TATAATTCAGAGCATTTATTGGTCCAATAGGTGGGCGTTACTCACATGAGCAACAAGAACACTGCAGCACAAGACGAATAAAAACGATTAACATGCTTGGGACTCTGATGGCCTAGTGGTTAGTTAGCGCCCCATGTATGGAGGCTGTATTCCACCAAGCACGTGGCCCGGGTTCATGTCTGGCCTGTGGCTCCCTCTATAGCTCTCTCTGTTTTCTACTCTATCCACTGTCCTATAATAGAAGCTAAAGGCTCAAAAATTAATCTTCAATAAATTACTATCAACATGCAAAACTGAGGATAAAACATGCTAAACATGAGACAACGATGACGATGATGACGTGCAGCCTGACGTAACATCTCAGCCGTCTTCTGTGGACATGGGAGAAACACTATGCTACCTGTTGAAAGTTTTTATACTTCTAAATACAGAGACGCACTGACTGGGAAAATCAGGGCTGATACTGATACCTATGTTTGTTTCACGACTTCTTTTGGTGTAAGACTCCCTCTATTCCGCCAATTTCTCTCCTGTTTAACCATTAAAGCAAGTCAGAGTTTATTCAACGGCTGACTTAAGGGTAGTCAAGACCAAGATATACCCGATACCAGAGAGCTCTGAGACTGAGACAAGACCAAGACATTTAGGGATCGAGAAGGAGACAAGACCAAGACCAAGACATTTAGGGATCGAGAAGGAGACAAGACCAAGACATTTAGGGATCGAGAAGGAGACAAGACCAAGACATTTAGGGATCGAGAAGGAGACAAGACCAAGACCAAGACATTTAGGGATCGAGAAGGAGACAAGACCAAGACATTTAGGGATCAAGAAGGAGACAAGACCAAGACATTTAGGGATCCAGAAGGAGACAAGACCAAGACATTTACGGATCAAGAAGGAGACAAGACCAAGACATTTAGGGATCGAGAAGGAGACAAGACCAAGACATTTAGGGATCCAGAAGGAGACAAGACCAAGACATTTAGGGATCCAGAAGGAGACAAGACCAAGACCAAGACATTTAGGGATCCAGAAGGAGACAAGACCAAGACATTTAGGGATCTAGAAGGAGACAAGACCAAGACCAAGGCATTTAGGGATCCAGAAGGAGACAAGACCAAGACATTTAGGGATCGAGAAGGAGACAAGACCAAGACCAAGACATTTAGGGATCGAGAAGGAGACAAGACCAAGACCAAGACATATAGGGATCCAGAAGGAGACAAGACCAAGACCAAGACATTTATGGATCGAGAAGGAGACAGACCAAGACCAAGACATTTAGGGATCGAGAAGGAGACAAGACCAAGACCAAGACATTTAGGGATCGAGAAGGAGACAAGACCAAGACCAAGACATTTAGGGCTCGAGAAGGAGACAAGACCAAGACCAAGACATTTAGGGATCGAGAAGGAGACAAGACCAAGACCAAGACCATTAGTAGAGAGAGGAAAAAATGAAGTTATTCGTTTTTTTAGAAAGGGTTGTTTTCCCATCACAATAATGATTTGAAATAGCAGGACATGGTGGTCTTGACTGGTCTTGATTTAAAATCTGGAGTACCCCTATTCTGAGACCGAGACGAGACCTTAAAAAAAGTGGTCTGGCGACCGGTCTTGAGGCCAAGACTGATTTCTTGTACTACAACACTATCACTCAGGTAAATGAACTTTGCTTTTCCACGACTGTTTACATGTAATCAGTGGCTCTGATAGATTACATCACAGGACTACTACACTGTGACATTAATGAGTAGGCTACTTTCATGAGTATTATTGTGACAATAAGTAGCCTAAACATTTTACTGACAATTCTCCTACTTTTCTACTTTAACAAAAGTAAAAAATCTGAGCTCTAACCTCTTCTGAGCTTCAGTAAAAAACACAAATAAACCAGATTTTTCACAGCAAACTGTCATGATTGTAAACTGTTTACTGAGAACCATGTGTGTGTGTGTGTGTGTGTGTGTGTGTGTGTGTGTTTGCAGACTATATAGTCACTCTCAGGCAAACTTGTGACTCACAGGCAGTCATAAAACCTCTTTTCTTTCAGACTTTTCTCTCTCTCTCTTTAGTGGACGGACAGTTTCAGTGTTTCTGAACTGCTGATCTTTCACAGTGATTTTAAAGATTCCCACACAGATTGTCATTTTATGATGAAACAGACAGACAGGCAGAGAGAGAGAGAGAGAGAGAGAGAGAGAGAGAGAGAGACAGACAGGCGGTGTAAAGGTTCACTCCCTGTCTATCCTCCTCACATTCTTCTTCTCTCACGCTCACAAAAAAAGCCCATTATTCCGCAGATTTTTGTATTTTTCTTTGATAAAGACCTCACAGAAAGTGTCTTTGTCAATGCACCTGCTCACCTTGATCCCCGCTGACATCCATCACCTGTCTGCATCGGGCTGCAGCTCCTCCCAAAGATCCAGATCTGATCCACAAGATTAAAAAAAAAAACACTGAGCCGAGCAGGTTTGCGGTTACTGACGCTCTTCCGCTGAGAAAACAAACAAACAAACTTTTCTTCTTCTTTAAAATCAAAAGTCAAACTTTAGTCCGAGGATTCACCTGAACAAAAAACGGCGAGTCTCTGTGATTGTAAAGAAAATCCTACCTCTCATCTCAACATCAAACTCAAGTGATTTCCGGTGGCACCTTCAAAATAAGAGCTGCCTAAATCATCGGCTACTTTCCAGATGAAATGTATGGAAAGCCAATTGGGTCATTATTCAGTTACCAAATTTATTGAATACAGTTGTCCAGAAGATATTTTTTTTTAAAAGCCTTAAAGCCTTAAAGCCTTAAAAGTTCTACTGTCAGTTAAAATCATTGAGAAATATCACTTAAATATATTCAAAACAATTCAACCTTAATACATTGAGGTAATTGCAAGTTTTCTGATCCTTTCTTTCATCTTTTCGGTTGCCATATTATCTGCCATAAAGTCTGTTCGAACTTTGGTAGACAATTAGTAATAATATATATTTAGACTAGTCTATCTCGTCAAGTTTATTTATATTAAACTGATGGCATGGTGGTCGATCAATGACAAGCGGAGCATGACGTTTGTGTTTTTTCACACTCATTTTCAGATGTGTAAATTGAATCAACCAAGTTCTTGACCATTTATCTCAAGGCACTTAAGGCAATCATATTTTGCCTTGAGTGTTTTATGATAATAATTATATATATATGTAAGTATAACTCTATCCTGACTGTCTGCTTGTTGGGATGCAGTTCTTTACAATTGAAATAAAAACAAGCTTTTGCAAACGATACAAGTATTTTTTTTTAATCTGTATTGACTATAAAGTTGACTTTAAAAAAGTGTTTTGAATTGTTTTTTTAAAAAGCAGGAGAGAGAGGGGGGGGGGGGGGGTGAATAATGGCCTGATAGGCTCTCCATATAGAGACCAGTGGTGGTTTTGATGTTTAGATGTTTAACTTCAGTAAAATAATCCATATTAGACTCTCAGAATTAAACATTACGAGTTCAGTCCACTTCAGTTATTTCCTTCTGTAACGGAATACAAATAAAAAAAATTGTATTAACTTGAGTACCCGTCATCTCCAAACTCAGGAAACTTGATTATTAGTTATCAGATTAATTATGAGTTGAAGCTGATAAATGTTGAGTTGTGTTTTATTCCGGAGGTACCGAGGCTGTCTGAGTGTGATCCTTTGAGCTCGGCTGTCTGTTAGTTTAAGAGCAGGGTGTTGTTTTAATCATTTCTGCTTCACCACTCAGACACTACAGAGCTGTCTGCTGGGTTTTATGTCACTGTGTGTGTGTGTGTGTGCTGAGCTGTAAGAAACTCAAACCTCTCAGTCAGCTTTAAGTTAAATTTTATTCTAATAAAAGTGTTCTCTGCTCACATTTGTTATCATCGTTTAATCATGAAAGACAACTTTACAACACGCTACAAACTTAAAAAATAGGAGTTCTTTTTAGCTGCAATGTTTTTTATTCGTCTTTGAATGTATAAAAGTAAAAAAAATGTTCAATACATTTCAATTCCCATGTTTTACAACCATACAATCTCTGGTATCTTATTGAATGAGAGTATCCAGAAGTATCAAAGCTTTAGAAAAAAAACTTCAGATCTTCTGTCATACTAGGAACTTAAGGTTGCTGCAAGTGAGGGAGATAGAGCAATGTCTAAATCCCCTTCATAGGTTTGTTTCTGAAATGTTGCTGGGTGCTTATGACTTGTTTTTTTGTGGCTGTGGCATCGAAACAGGTAGCAAATGTGTGAGATTTTTTAGAATCGTGTTGAAGTTTAAATTCTTGTCTTTCTGTGGCTCAGTAGCTAGAGTCGGTCGTCTCTCAACCCAGGCTCAGTGAGCTGGACGAACATGGAGACCACAGAATGTTAAAGTTATTTAAACGATAATTTATGGAAAACTAAGGTAAGATATCAGAATAAAAGAATATGCTGTCTGTAAATCAGTGGTGGTCGTAATGGTGAATGTGTGTGGTGTGGATGCAAAAACAAATTCCACAAACCAAAGTTAGTGTTGACGAGAGAGAGGGAGAGAGAGAGAGACGAGAAGCCAGTTTAAATACCAAGGCCCAGCCAGCTCAGGTGCACAACATCAAACTGGCTCCGCCACTTTCTACCTGAAGGCAACCTGAGCGGGGAGGGAGACAAGGCAGCAGGAGGAGCACTTGGGCAAGAGTCACTTAACGCTGAATTGCTCCCGCTGCTTCGTCCGCGGCGTGATGTGTACGAATGGATTAGTTACTTCTGATCGTCACTTCACACATCAACCTCTACCATCAGTGTGTGAATGTGTAGGTGTGTGAATGGGTAGGTGTGACCTGCGGTGTAAAACGTGCCATAAGTAGTCAGAAGTGTCTCAAGTCCATTTAGCATTAAAATGTAACTTTTGCATTTTTGTTACTGATTTTTCTTATTGACAGTGGGATTGTTTTGTACACTGTGTGCAATGTGTACTCTTTTCATTTTTGCAAAAAGTGAGACACTGATGGGGAGCTTCAAATGAAGAGCATTTTATTCGACGGGTTGATCTATTTCTTACACTGAAGTACTATAAAACAGTACGGTTCTAGAAGATGTAGACAAATAAAGTAAACGACAGACTAACTTTACAAAAAAAAGTGGAGAAAAACAGACATTTCCAGGAAGAAAATAAAATAATAATAATACTATGTACAAGTAGGAAACGCTGAATCTTCCCTTCAAACAAACTCAACCCTGCAGAAGAAACAGAAGCCGTACGGAAAAAAGACAACTTGTATGACTGTAGCTCATGAAACACATCAGGTATAAAAGACAACGTGTGGGACTGTAGCTCATGAAACACATCAGATATAAATCGAATTCTCAAGAAGCCAGAATTGTTGGACAATGAGAGTCCAGTGACATCTTGAAATCTGGTTTGATAAGATTTTAAAAAGTTAAATGTCACTTTTCACAACGGCCTCATCATCGCTGCTTCCTGCAACAATATGTCAATATGGTCAAATGTTCAAATATGTCAAATTGAGCTGAACAATGTAACCACAGTTTTCATCCCTTTATGTTTCAGCAGTGGCAACACTGAGTTCAACTGTATGATTAAAGTTTGTCAATGAAAAAGTTTGAAAATTAAAATTCCTGTTAACATACATCAAACATCTATTTTAGCACATTTTTTTTGATCACATTAGCAGGTTTTAGTTGATTTGACAGTTTTTTTTTTTTTTTTAAGTTTGTCCGTTGATTTCTGAGTGGTCATCAGAGATCTGCCTGCTCCACTTCTACAATTTGTCAATGAACATTTAGAGGACAGTTCTATGTTGAAAACAGCCGTTTCTCTTCAGAGTAAAGAGCGTTCCTAAATAAAAGAGGTTAAATAATAAACGTGTTTGTTTTAGGCATTTACTTGGTTTTGGTCCTAAATGTTAACATGATATAAAACGATCTTTGATTCTGAATATGCACATTTTATCTTCTTCCACATTGAGCAGCTGTTTGGTAAAAAAATAAACTTCTGAAGGTTTTTGATCCGGTTGGTTATTTTGGCGGGAACAACTGGACGCCTCCTGGGGTCAACAAGTCAATGTTACATCAACTCATGAATGGAGGCGCAGGGCTGAGGCACTCTTTGGTTTCACTTGGGTTTGCTTGGTCGGCATCAGGAAGTCCTTCAAAAAGAGTTCCTTAGCTTCTGGAGGCTGGTGTTCTAGAGACAGTGGTTACCGTGATGTAGGGTTCTAGAACTCTGCGGTTACCATGGTTAACCACGCAGTAGTGTTCTAGAGCTCTGTGATTTCCGTAATAACCAGGGAACCTAGAAGTATGTGAGTACCAAAGTCACCAGGAAGTACTGTTTAAGTGGTTACCATAGTCACCAGGGAGTGGTATTCTAAAAGTATGTGAGTACCATAGTCACTTGAAAGTAGTGTTCTAGAACTCTGTGGTTACCATAGTAACCAGGAAGTAGGGTTCTAGAATTCTGTGAGTACCATTGTCACCAGATAGTAGTGTCATGAGGTCTGTGGTTACCATAGTGACCAGAGAGTACTGTTCTAGTGATCTGTGGTTACCATTGTGACCAGAGAGTAGTATTCTAGAAGTCTGTGGTTACCGTAGTAACCAGAGAGTAGTGTTGTACAAGTCTGTGGTTACCATAGTCACCAAAGAGTAGTGTTCTAGAAGTCTGTGGTTACTGTAGTAACCAGAGAGTAGTGTTCTAGAAGTCTGTGGTTACCGTAGTAACCAGGAAGTAGTGTTCTAGAAGTCTGTGGTCACCATAGTAACCAGAGAGTAGTGTTCTAGAGGTCTGTGGTTACCATAGTTAGAGTTCTAAATCTCTGCAGTTGCCATTGTCACCAGTTAGTAGTGTTCTAGAAGTCTGTGGTCACCATAGTAACCAGAGAGTAGTGTTCTAGAGGTCTGTGGTTACCATAGTCCCCAGGGAGATGTGTTCTCAGAGCAGTGGGTACAAAAGTCACCTTGGAGTAATGTTCAACTGATAAGTGGTTATAATCATTAGAAGTTAGTATTGTTCTAAAACGCTCTGTGGTTACAAAGTCACCAGGGAGTGATCTAAAACACTGCTGTAACCATAGTTACCAGGGAGTGGTGTTCTGTGATTCTGTGGTCATATAGTAAGTAAGCAGTGAGCAGTGTTCTTACACTCAGTGCTTACAATAGTCACCGTCCACAGGTGAACCAACGCAGTGCTGTTTGTTCATTCCTGTTTTTGTTTCCATCCCGAGAGGAGAACAGCACTTGTTTGAAAAAGTTCAGGTTCAAAGTAAGCACATTTTTTAGTCCCAGTGATGACATCACAGGGCGGGTCCTCTTTTAAGCAGCAGGAGGGGTCTCCTACGATAATGCCACAGGTGCTAGTCCCTCACTGTGCTTCAGATGGTCGTGGTGGTGCAGCTGAGCTTTACAGACCGTGGCGGCGCTGCAGCGGAGAGAAGAGACGGCAGGCGGCTCCTCGTCCCCTAAAAGACACACAACCAACGTGTCATTATTCATTCACTTACTTAATCCTATTACAGGGTGATACTTTTATTGTTAAACGCTCACAGTCGGCCTTACCCAGCCCAGACGAAGAGGATTCACTCTCAGCCAGGGAGGAGGATTCAGCCAGGTCATGTGACAGTCCCTCCATCAGGGGAATGGAAAGCTCTGAGGAGGGGACGGACGAATCATAGATGCCTGAATCCCGAGGAGGCGGGACTTCTGGAGAGGAAGGGCAGCCTATTTCTGCCTGGGAGAGGATGGGACAAGCCTCCTCCTGGAGGATGGAGGGAGCAGAGGAGGAAGAGGAGGATTCTTCAGGTAACAATCCAGATATCCCAGAAGAGGACCTGAAGGAGCAGACATGCAGCAGAAGTCAGACTGATGAGTCCTTTTACATCATCTACTTCAAACATAAAACAGACGGTAAGTCTAGGGATGGATGTTTGCTTCCTGTTAAGTTGAGCCACTAATAAAAAAGAAAATAAACTAAAAAGTTATTACTTCATCCTTTACCTTGAAGTGGGTCCCAGCATGGACAGAGAGCAATGTGGCAGACCTGGACTTGGACAGGGACCAGGACTTGGAATTGGACTGTGGCTGCAGCCCGGGTCAAGACTGTGAGCAGAACCAGGAGCCAGCAGGAGCACATTCCTCCTCGGCTCTCCCTTTCCTCCTTCGAGCGTCGGCGTCCTCACCACCACCTCGTTGAGCACCAGGCCGGAGTCAAACTTTTGCTCGTGCTGAGAAGAGCAGGAGGAGCAGTGAGGCTTCGGGGGAGGAGTCGGAGCCGAGTCAGCGGGGAGAGGAGGGGGTTTAGAGGAGGAGGAGGATGAGGAGTCTCCCGAAGGAGCCAGCTGCTTCTCGAACCAGTCGGGGTTCTGGTTGATGTGCTGGTGCATGTTGCAGATGGAGACGTAGAGCGAGCGTCCAGACTTACTCCTGAAGTAGTTCCTCCTGGAGACGTTGAGAGGCTGAGAGTCACGATCTGACAGACTGGACTGACTGGAATGAAGCCGGCTGAAGAGCTGCGGGAGCTGGTCCATCAACTTAAACCTAAACACGGGAAATCATTATTTAACTTGGCCGCCATACAGAGAGGAATGCAGTCAAAACACTCCTATTAATCCAAAGGCAAAACAAAATCCATAAAAGTTCATAAAAATGCAACACATACAAATTCCACAACCTTACAGTGACAGCAAAGCGGTCAAAAAACCTTTTGCCGCCTGGGGTCACACACCTGACCTAGTCAGTGGCTCTTTTTGTAAATGCCTACTTTACTAATAGTACGTACTGATTTGGCCAAAATGTAGTTTGAAAACAAATGCGAGATCCTCAGTTTGCCAAAAATACCTGGATGTCTACAATTCTACAATTCACTTAGCAGACGCTTTTATCCAAAGCGACGTACATCAGAGAGTAAGTACAACACAAGCAAGGATCTAGAAAAAAGCGAACAATGTCAGTAAGAGCAAACGATCAGCTTTGAGTCCGATTGGACACACAGGTGCTGACAGGAAGTGACCAGAGGCAAAGCACAACATTGACGGCAGTTCTACTCTAATCAGTATAGAAACCATCTTATAAGTCGTCGTTATCAAACAAAAACAATCGTGAAAACCATCATCATCATCAATAATATCAAGACCATCGTCGTCATCATTAAGTTAAATTAGTAGGTATTCATAAAGAGCTGGGTCTTTAGCTTTTTCTTAAAGGTGCAGAGGGACTCTGCAGATCGAATGGAGTTTGGAAGTTAATTCCACCACCGGGGGGCGACAGAGGAGAAGAGTCTAGTCAGAGACTTAGGACCCTGTTGTGAAGGTTGGATCAGACGCCTTTCATTGGCAGAGCGTAGTGGGCGGGAGGAGTGTAGACCTGGATGAGAGAGTTAAAGTAAGGAGGAGACGTTTTTGTCGCTGTTTTGTAAGCGAACAGCAGAGTTTTAAATTTGATGCGAGCAGTAACTGGGATCCAGTGTAAGGAGATGAACAGCCGAGTGACGTGTGCTGTTTTTGGAAGGTTGAAGACCAGTCCTGCTGCTGCATTTTGTATCATCTGCAGAGGTTTGATAGTGCATGTAGGAAGACCTGCCAGTAGAGAGTTGCAATAGTCGATGCGTGATATCATAAGATATGTCGTACTGATTCTTATAATTTACAGTAAGCAACAAACCAGTCGAGTACTGTTTTCCACAATTCAAAGTGCCAGGTGAGAGATCAAAATGACAGACATCCAGCAGATGGCGGTAATGCAACACTTATGGGTACCAACCACAATAAAAACCAACAGAAGAAGAAGAAACACTGATGGACAGCAATGGTTATCAGAACAAGGGAGATAATCACAATCAGACCAAACCAGATTCTCAGAATCATGAAAATCTAAATGAATCACTTGTCAGCTTTCTTCAGACTCTGAGTGGATGCTACAATGTAGCGGTGTGCAAACTTGACATTGTTTTCTTTTTCTTTGAGGCACTACCCGACCACCATACGTTCATCAACATATGATCTGCTGCACCAGTGGGATGACTGCAAAAGCCTGAGTCAAGCTCCTCCCCCTATCTCTCTCAATCTGCAGCCAGGACCAGAAGCATGTCCTCAGCCAACATTCTTCCAGCACTTTTTTTCTATAGTGATACGGTTCTGAGAAACTATTTGAAAACATTGCATGTTTGTTGAGACGTTCCCCCGGTTTGTTTGAAAGGATGTGTTGCCTCTTAAACTGCAGCTAATCATCATGTCCACCATCCTTTAACCTCTCAGATGTTTCCTTTACCTGGGAGCCAGACTCAGTATGGTAGGGATGTCGTTCTCCGTTGAGTAGTCGAAGTAAACCGTCATGAAGCGGTTCAGCTCCTGAGCTCCGTCACCCTCGCTCTTCTTTGCCAGACGCAGTTTCTCAGCAATCATGGCCACGCCCACAATGAACAGATCATTGCCCGATCCACCAATCGGTGAGCTGCTGCTGCTGCTGCTGTTATTACGACGACTCACTGGTGTCTTTCCTCTGCGGCTCTTTTTCTCCATGTAGTATCTGAAGGAAGAAAGTGAGATGTTAGGGGATGATAGTGTTGTATAAAATGTTGTGATTAAAGCTGTTAATTTATTTTCCAGCTGAGGACTGTGACAGCGATATAAAAATGGATTACTGTTCATACTCTTTATTTACATAGTAGAGTTTTTTTTTCTGAGAACAAAAAATACAGGAAAGGAAATAATGGTCAAAAGATGGAGGGTAGGGTAGATAAAAAAAAGAAAATGAAAGAAACAAAATAATAGAAAGATGGTCATGGAGAAAAGGTGGACGATTAAGGATGAGACACCTGAAAATGTAAATTTATAAAGTAAACCATACAGTACAGCTCTTTCAGCCAAGATTCAATTGAAGCTAATATTATTGTTAAAACACACAAATCTGACTAAGTACCAGTGTAAATTAAAGGATTTTACTCTCTATGCTCTGACAACTTCCTTTAAAAGAGTGATTTGCAGCATCTAGCGGCCAGTGGTGGAACTGCAGCAGAAGGCACTTCGAAAACATCTACAGTGGTCTTAAAAATCAATTTCGACAGTGTTTTTGAACATATATTTGGGTAACCTGAGTGTCTACCGACCCACAAAATGTGAAATAAACCCATCCAGTCCTTTGTTTGTGGTCTGCTTTACAGTTTTACAACACAGTGAAAAATGCTCTGTTTCAAATGTGCTCTCCTTGTGATGTCACAGTGCGAGTCTGGTAAACAAATCTCCTCCCCTCCCCTCCCCTGGTATCTCCACCCATGGACTCCACCTCCAGCCTAATGTAAAACTTTTGAGCAGGTCCACCATTTTTAGTCTTGCTACAGAGGAGTGATGTCTACGGGGAAAACTCAGGGGGGGCTCATTGCATTTAAAGAGACACACACACCAAAACGGAGCGTTCTGAGAGAGCTGGTTTATACAGGGTCACAAACCTCCTCTGGTGCTTGATTCATGTTATATTTTGACCAAAGCACAGCACAGATGTTTCATTTAGACCACAGGGGACTGTTTGAAAAGTTGGAAAAGGTGAAAAAGGGGTAAAATATGTGCTCTTTAAAGCACAGCAATGTAGAGTAGAATAGAGTAGAGTGATCTAGATTTAAATACCGTAGTCCTTTGGAGCAGACGGTGATGATGAAGTTTGCTTCATCCAGCTGTCTGCTGAGCCAGGACATCTGACCCTCTTTGCACATCTCCAGGTGTTCCCACAGGTCCAACACCACCTGAGCAGGAGTAAACAGAGACTTTAGAACAAGACAATAAAATCTCTTTGATTCCCTCATTCAAAATGATTATTAAAGTTTTCCTCTTCCTCATCCCGCCCTTTTATCTCTCACGTCTGTCACTGTCTCACCTCACAGCTGCAGAAGTCCTGCAGGAAGTAAGCGAAGCTCTGGATGACGCTGGTGTGTTTGGGACAGTCTCTGTTTGAGTAACAGATGAAGACTTTGGGGCGGGGCCACGGCCGCTCCGGTTCAGTGCTGCACTTTGATTGGACGACTCGCTGCTCTCCTCATCCAGCTGACTGTAGATGTTTTCTAAGACGAGAGCGGACAATCGAACAAGACATGTCGATATATTAAAAATGTTGATATATCCGTATATGATGAATGCAACTGTGAGACTTTAAACAACATGGAGTCAACGTGGTCAACAGCGCTCTCACCTTGCTGTTTCTTGCGGCACATGACCGTGAACAGAGTGGCAAAGGCGGACATGATGACCAGAGGCACTGTGATGGCCATGGCTCTGATCGGCCCCGCCCAGGGGGAGTGGACTGGGGAGGAAACACAACCAGCAACATGTCAGTTTAACCACTACATCCATGAGTTAAAAAGAGAGAGTTAGTGTGGAGCTATCACCTTCACATTTTTATTGGACTCACTGATCGCTCATTAAGTTTAGAAAATGATCAGCAGGTTAATCGATCAGTTACAGATTCTCTAGACTGTGAGTGTGATTCTCACCCTGGCTCACGTGGTACTGACTCTGCCTCCTGGTCGTGTTGCCGTCGTCTCTTAACTGGAAAGTGAAGAAAGAAAACAGGAAACAGGAAAATGAAACAATCAGTGTTTAAACAGATATATGTGGATTTTACAATTGGGATTTAACTGTTCCTGAATCATTTCAAATCTTGATCTTTATCAACTGTAAAATGAAGTTTATAAGACGCAGTCTGACGTTGGAGGAGGTCTTCCATAGAGAAAAAAGTTTAAACAGTCTTGCTGTGAATTTCTATCGTCTTCCGTTACTGTGTCGCTCTTTTAGTTCCGTCTGTTTTCACTTTGTGGAGTTTCCTACTAGCTACAGAATGCTAGTTCAGGTCTCAGCCTGCGGGGAATGTTGTGAAGCACAGACCCTCAATCACTAGTGACCCGCTGGTCACTAGTCTTTCAATCTAATCAGCGCTCCACAAGCTTCATGTACTGAACAGAACACCACCGTTTGCACCGTTATGACCTCATGACGGAGGAGAGATGGTAAAAAGTCACTCTGCCAGCCTCTTCTGCGTCGCTATGTTTACCATCACAGCTTGCGATACACAGGGAATGAGTGAATTTTTAATTACGTCAGGTCGTGAGCAGTGTGTGATAGTGAGGGCTGAGGATGTTGGTGATGGTTATGGTGCCTTTACACTGGTATATCGGTCGCACCAGTATACAGGAAGCAACCAACTTTCTAGACTTAAAACAGATATGAAAAGTTCGTCTTATACACTGTATTTAACTGTTAGTTTAACATTTATTTAAAACACTGAAGAAGCAAATGAAGCCACATCCTCAGCGGTGTTTTGAAACTGTGTTGTGTAAATGAGGCTCAGTCCTGTGCTGCGTTCAAATACCTCTATAGTGTAGGTCCCTGGAGTGACGTCCTGGAGGATGCACGTAGTTCGGAGCTGGTTCAGGTCCTGCACATGAAAAAACATTACTCACATTACAACGCTGCATTTCCAGTCACACGTTCCTTACCACATTAAAAAAAGAAATCAAAGGCTGCTGAATCACAGATGTTGTTGTTTTAAGAGCTGAAATAAAGGAGTTGGAGCCAAAATGTGTTCTTTGTTAAATGAGACACAGGTAAGACACTGTTTTGTATATTTAAGTGTAATTTCAACTCTGAACTGTAGGGGGAGTCTTGGCTTATGCTGGGCATAAAGCCAGGGTTGCAGGTAATTGCATTGAATGGAAGCAAACAGGTTTGTGAACCTGTCGGCATCATACCGCAGGATTAAAGTAAGTGTATCTGTTTTATGTTGGATTATTTGAATCCTGACTCGACATTGATGTTTCAATAAATGGATCAAGGAATCCAAACTGATTGTAAGACATTTGATTGGTTACAACAAACCAGAAGGCGCGCAAGACCTGGGTCCAGTTAGGTCTCTACAAAAGGTCATCTTCCTTTTAAACAGCCGCCAGGTCACAAATTAAACAACGGCCGCCATGTCTGATAACTCTACAGACTCTAAAAAGTCGTTTTCAAAAAGCTCCTCAAACGTCTCTTCTCCTGGAAGAATCAGAGGATTTCTTGACTTTCCCAAGCCTCGAGAAAAATACTCACGGGTTTGCAGCGCTGCAGTCTGAAGGGTCCGTCCTGTCTCAGTTTGTAGTACAGGTAGTAGAAGTGAAAGCCGAAGGAGGGCGGAGCCTGATCGAACGCCACGTGCAGGTTTGATCCCAGCTGAGACACGTTCAGGGTCTTCGGCTTCCAGACTGAGACAGAAAGAAACACAACTTAACGGGGACTCTTTGACATTTACTATCTGCACTTTAATGATACAATAAGCTGTGAACGTTAAATATTCTCCTTTTTGCACACGTTCATCTACAGCAGACGTTTCCTCCGTTTAATAATATTTAAAATAAAAGCCTCCCTGATGTCTGATTCAGAACATCAGAGTCGTTTTCAGTGTTCTCCTCCTCTTATTACTCACACTGTGTTTGATAACTTATCAGGCACGCCTGACACCGTTGAACTCGACAGTTCCTGCAAAGATTACAAAACATAATCCCTCTTTCCTGGCTGGCTTTTAATATGAAACATCTGCAGCCTTTTTTTTATGCTTCTTGGTGTAAAATATAAAAATTAAAACCTTCGTCTCAGATTAAGAACATCATACGGATTGAATTTAAACCTTCTCTGAATCCTCACGTTGCATTGAAACACTGATTCGACTCCTTTAGACTTCAAATCTCTAAATGTTTTATATTCTTTAATGTGCGTTGAGAAGAAGACAATCAAACCATGCAGAGACTCCGTCTGCATGTGGCTCTGGTTATGATGACGACACTGAGGAACTTACAGGGTTTGCAGACCAGGTTGTCAGATCCCAGGAGGACTTCACACGCTGGAGGACAAACACACACACACACACACACACAAACACACAGAAAGGATTAGAGAGCTCGTCCTGGTATGCTTTTGTCTCATCTTCACCTCACTGATCCAACCGACTTAAAGAGACAGCCTCGACATGATTATCTCTGTCTTTCTCGGGTGGATCGGAGTTTTATCTCTGATGCAGAGGTCGTTCCAGGACGAGTTGAACCTGAAGTGTTTTTACTCGAGTGTCAATGAGGACAGCTGCAGACCGGCACACTTCTTTACATAATACATTCATCTAGTGCCCTCTTAAATTACAGATATGCATATTCACATGCAACACATGAACTAAAGACAAGTCCTTCTTACAACCCCACTTCAAAAATACAGAACTCTCCCTTCAACACAGAAACAGTCACAAGAGACTTCCTCTTGCCCCCATTCTTCTTCACTGATCAACTTTCACTGTGAGCTGCATGTATGAAAGGAAGTTCTGGAGAGTGTCAGGTCCTTAAAGTCCTGAAATTATCTAGAAAATGTTCACATAATAAAGGGGTAAACTAATCAGTGTCTATGCATGCTTAGAGTGTGTTTGTAGAGAAGGGTGTATGGGGAAGTTCCCATCGTGCTGACCCACATGGAAATGTGGACACAGAAACGGTGAACTGTCCTAAACTCGGCACAAAAGGGAAAAAATATCATCCTTCCATGAACTGTAAAGGGTCTTGTTTTGCATCATGTTAGCATACAAGCTAGTCCAGAGCTTGGTAGGTTTTATTGTCAGTAGACAAAACTCAAACCTGGCTGTGAGGACAAAGTGAAGATATATGGATGAGCTGATAGGCATCATTTAGTCTTTGGAAAGCTGCTTCCACTTATTTTGTCTGGCTAAACGTTTGAAAGAGTTTTTTATTCTGGGTAAGTAATAAAGGAAAGTGAAGCAGTGAGGAGGTTGCTGGACTCACAGTTGGTTCTGAGGAACGACGGCGGGAAGAAGCTTTCGTTCATCAGAGTCGGGAACGGAACAACTCGGACCATGTAGTCGGTGTCGAAGTTTAAACCGCTGAACGGCTGACTGCTCTGCTTCTGTGGGAGAGAAACAAAAATATAAATTCTATGAAGGAAGGAAGGAACTTAAGTTTTGAAGTAAGGAATCACGGCTGCTGTAGACTTGAAATGCCTTAGCATAAACGCTAAAAAATGAGGCGTAATAACAACAACAACAAACAGAGAAGTTTTCATGAGCATCATGGCGCTGCGTCCATGTGCGCCGCCATCTTTGTTTGTTCACAAATGTGACAGTTCTCTCTCAACTTGGCTTCTAATGTTTGGCACCAACGTGAAGAAGTTAGCCAGAAATAGATGAAAAATAAACACGACAGAAAAGCATTCATTTTGTCCCTACCGTGATCCTGTAGGAGAAGTTGAGCTGTCGGGGGTCTTTGAGGATCAGATGTTGACACTGTTTCCCTTCTGGGTTTTTGTCCTCCAGATAAACTCTGAACCCTTTAATGTGCTCGATTCCTGCAGAGACACAACAAATTAAAAACATCTTCAATAATGATCAGCATCCTTCATTCTCTCCTTGTTTCCTTTCCTTTCTTCTTCCTCTCTCACCCTCTTATTCTGCTTCAAATCCTTGAGCACATTTTTTTTTTTACATCCTCTCCTTGCTTCCTTTTTATCTCCTTTCCTTTACACACTTCCTTCTCTCCTGTTACCTACTTTCTTTTGTTTCTGTTTTTTTTTTACCGTGTCCTCCTTTTTTCTGATATCTCCTTGTTTACTTTCCTTCTCCATTCTTCTTGTTTACTCGCTCCCTATCCTCTTCAGAATGACTTCTCCTTGTCTCCTTTCCTTGCCCACTTTTTTCTCCTCTCCTTGTTAGCTATCTCATCATCCTGTTCTCTTAGTAGTTTATCTTCTCATCGTTTCACTCTCCTCCTTTTGTCCACTTATCTCTTCCTTGTTTCCTTTATTCCCCTTACACCCTCTAACCCCTCTTGTTTCCTTTTTATCTCCTACTCTAGCTCCCCCTCTCTTCAATTCTCCCCCTTCTTCCTCCTTATTTCCTCCTCCTCCTCCCTGCTCTTTGAAAACTCGTCTGTCTTGTAATTACACCTTTACATCCACAGGACACGTTTTTCCTATTAGCTCTGTGGGGAGTGGAGAGAGAGAGAGAGAGAAAGAGAGAAGGGGGGAGGAGAGAGACTGCAAGAAAGATAGAGAAAAGAAGAAGAAAAGAGAGACAGAGAAGAAGAAATAAAGAGGGAGAATGTGTAGGAAGAGAAGAAAGAGAGAAATCGGAGGATGAAAAAGGGGAGAATAATGAGCAAGTAAAAAGAGAGAAAGAGGGGAGACTGATAGGGCTTTCACACTTGCAGATATTTCCAGGGTGAGCTGCATGTGTGAACACAGACAGACGGATTTCTGAAGTCCGGCTTTATCCCAAGTTTCTCCTGACAACCTCCTAGTATTTTCTGACGGTCTGACGCTATGATGACAGTTTGAGCCTTCATATCAAAGCTTACGTGTAATAAGAAATATTCACTGACTACTGAACGAGTAGAGGGGAAGATGTGCTTGAAGATCAAACCGGTTACGTGATGTAAAGGTCACCACCACCCAGTCCTGACGTCATGCAGATCTTTCACCAGGTGGCTGG